TCTTTTAGTCATTGTTCATATTTGGTTTAGTGTATTTCTACTGGGCTGTGGCTCACCCTAATATGGGAATATCATTTTCAGGTACAGGTAGCATGCCACCTCCAAGGACGTAGCTTGGGAGGCTAGAGGCGGGCAGACTTTTGTTGTTTTATTTCTTTGATGTATTACATGTATATTCAAGCCAAGGGCTTAATGTGTAAATGAGTTAGCACTCTTTTGTTGTAACCAAGTCTTAACTTGGAAAGCAGTAAGCCTTTAGGGCATTTGCTTTTGTTGTTAACATGTAATACTTTTGGTAATGGAACTCTGATGAATAGAAGAAGGTGGAGCTTTTTATATCAATGCATGTCTATATTGATGGGTTTAATGCTATTATTTTGAGGGCGTTACAAGAATTGAGGCGTAGTGCCCCCTTTTACAACAATTCCCACTAACTCAATTAAATAAGAATAAATAATTGGGCACTAATTCAATAATTTAATCTGGTCCGAAACAATTTCTCAATTAAACTTTACCGTAGGCTCTAAAAATTATGCCAATCACAATGGCACAATCAATTTCGGGTTCTGTGGCCGATAAAGCCTTCAATTTAATTTCGAAAGCAGATAATCAAACAGATATTCCTATGGTAAACAGATAGAAATTCAAAACTACATATTTTCACATAATTACACACAAAATCATATTAAACATATGATCATACTCATTTTAAGGACCGATTAACATATTGCAGAACAGGGATATCACATTATTGAGATGCTTGCTATTTCTTTTTTGGGTTCTAAGGGAGTATGACCCATTGTCTTTCCCTCTATTTTGAAAGAGTTGAATGCTGTTCAAATGAGGATGTCATCGTAATGGTGTCATAACCCCAATCCACCCCTAAAGGTTAGAATGGTGACCAGCCAATAATCATAGATTACCTATGGTCACTTTGGCCAAATTTGAAAATATTTATTTAATATTGGGGGCTTGAAGGGGAAGCAAAACAAAATTAATATTGTCCATTGAGCAGTGCATACATGATATGACAAATACATATTTATATTTTACATACACACATTAAATATATTACATCAAAAGCAAGCATTACTATTACAAAATTCTAAACTCATGATAAGAAGACGGTTATAAATCCTTTATTTTAGTTTTTCAACCCAATCGCTATTTTGATTTTGAAAAAAAAAAATCAATATGCTGCCTCTTCTACACATCCACCTCCATGCCATAATGGAGAGTCACAATAGTTAGGATTCATTAAAAAATCAACAATTCCCACATGGGAAAAGCCTTTCCCACAACAGGCAGTAATATATTTTTAACCTATAATTAGATCGAGTAATCATTTAAATTAAGAACAGAAGCTCGTTGCATTTTCTTTCCCTCGAATTAATTGAAGCCATAGGGCTCTATCCATTTATGCATTCGACCCAACTTTAAATTGAATAGACTTCACAAAAACTTTCCAAAGGAGGCAACAAGGGCCTCGGCTCGGGTAGCATTTCCGAAAGCTTTACAAAAGTCAATGAAAGCAAAACTCTAAGCTTGATCTTCCAAATGTTCACCTACATATATATAAGGGAAGGGGATGAACTAAAACCCAATGACTAATATCAAAATAAAGGGGTTAATGAATGAAGTCCAACATCCCATAGAACATATCTTTTTCAATATCCAAAACAATTTATGTATCCAATCATATCAATCCTTTGTGTTAACAATAACCATTCAAATCACTATACGTGGTAACATCCAATAGAGTAACAATATATCAATATGCTGAAGCTAATGCGACCATTAAGGTCAATTCAATGGGAGCACAGCAGGTCAATCAATAAAACCACAATGGGTATTCAATGTGGACCACTAGGGTCTAACATCAGATATCTGTGTGTTTCTATTAATCCATGGGCCATGATATTATTCCCCCAAGTAAGGGCATCACTAAAAGAAGCCACGAATACATTTTCAAAAATAATATAAAATAAGATTTTATAAACATCACTATTGAACAATGTCAAAATACATTTTAAACATATCTTCATAAAGATATTACTCACAGTAGGCTAGAACAAATGCTAGACCTCATGGTGTCCAACCTACACAGAGCACATAACAAACACACATTGAAACACATAATTCGAACAAAAACCATTTATCTAATCCAATACCTTATGTTGGGTTTTCATCGTAATTAACTCTTAATTAAATTCGTTCTTTTCTTTCTTAACCCATTAACTTATGTGGATTTCTAGCTTAATAACCCTTAATGAAGCCCAAATCATGATTAAACATGCTTGGAAAGAGATAAGGATGAAAATATGAACTCAAAACAATTTTCCAAAGTATGATAAAACAGAGCGTTTTGCTCAATCGAACTTTTGGTCGTGTGAGCGATGACTGCGGATCCTTAGTACATTGGTCTGTAAAAACAGATTTTGGATGGCTTCAATGTTCGCTCGAGTGGTGACTTTACTGCTCAAGTACTCTGCAATTTTCTATGTTCCAAAAATCAACAAAAATAGTTTTCAAAAACATTTTCAAAACTTGGGGTCTTGTATGGCTTGATTAAAAGCATGAAAACTGTCACGCCCCACTTTTTATTACTCGAAGCATTACCAATTTCATTTACTTAATTCCATTTCAGAGAAAACATGCGGAAATAAACTCGTATATTCAACTCATAGAAGTGAATAGTATTGCTCTCATTCGAATGCAAGTAAATATAACATGAGTATAATAAATAAATTGCCCTCAGGCTTACGACATTAAATAATCAAATGAAGGGTGCAACCCTTTTTCATATACATGGTGTTCCGCCTACAACAAAGAGGCCCCGTGGCCAACAAATAAGAAGACCCAAATCTTGTAGTACATCCTGCTAAACACCTGAAAAAAATTTCAACAACGTGGAATGAACATATAGTCCAGTAGGGATCTCAACATGGCCCTCAACAATAACAACTTACAGATAGCTATAATCATGAATGCTCAATCTCATACTAGAATAGTAATGTGACAGTTTATACAAAATATATATATATATATATATGTATGAGCTTTTCTCGAAAACAACAATTTCATTCAATGCTATAAATGATTCATGTTTCTTTTCCTTTCATTAAACCATGTTCCCAATCTTTCATAACATTAACAATTTCTTAGGAAATAAATTCACTAAGCCCATTACTCTCTTCCATTTTTCCACTCATACTATAGATGTGCCCTTTTCAAAACATGTTTCTAAAGTGTTCGATCTTCTTCACGTTACCAAAAGACAAAAAGGCATTTTGGTTCATTCCCAATTCAATCATAACTATACATGCATAAGATAAACCAATGAGGCAACTCGGCCCTCTAAGACAGTAACCAACACAAATCATGATGTTCTCAGATACACTGAAACAACAACAACAGCTAAACTTCGCTCTACTAGCTATGTGCGTAGTAAGCCAAAGATACACCTTTCACAACAACAAGCCAGTTTACCAGGCGCTAGCTGGAGGGGTATGGTACCTTCGATTATTAGCGCAGACAGTTCTCCAGGCGCTAGCTGGAAGGTCACGGTACCTCTGATTATTAGCGCAGGGTATAACACCACCAACCAAATGCAACAAGGCACAACTAACATGTATAACACATATACATAAACCATCCAGATACAAACAATGTGTTAAAGTATATGAACACATAACTACCTCTTTTTTAAAAAATCAACTATAAAAAAAAAATCATATGCACAACTTTATTAACCACACTAAAATAGTCAAATAACTAAAAAGTTATGTCAAAAAAGTTCATAGCTTAATTGGTGTGGGTATGCTATAACTACGCAGCATACCAAACATGTGTAATTTGTAGGAGAAATCTCACATCAATTATATTTTAAAAAATAATTATCAATTAATTATAAAATTTATAAATATTAATAATTATAATTATAATTTCTTATATGAATTTGTAATTATTTTCTCAAACTAATACTAAATTATAATTTTACCTAATTTGTATTCGATATGCAAAATATTTTCAGTGTGACACAGTAAGACTTGGAAATTAGTTGGTTTCATGACCTGAACCCGCCCTTATGGGTTAAGGACATAACCGACCAGTAATCTAGAGATTACCTACGGCCTCAAACCGAATAAGACATAACTCATCAGAGTAAAGAGGTCAAACGGAAGCAAATTTAAAACTTTGTCCATAGAGTTGTGCTTATATGCACACCATAACATTCCAAACATTTATATGTTAATAACTCACATCAAAATATGTACTAACACAGAACACTGTACATACAGGATCATACAAGTTTAAGTCAGTCGAACCCAAGACTTATATACAAAAGTAGTCCAATGCTTTTGCCAATGACTAATTCATTTGAAATATTAAAACACACCTATTGGAATAAAACAAACTTCAAGGACAATGGTATTTCTTTTCATTTAGTTTCACAAAATTATAATGCATCAAGTTGGTGACTACTTTCAACTATAATCAGCAGCAATTATTAAATCTCAATCAGAACCACTATTCCTTAATCAAGAGTTGTGTGGCTGCATGAGTCACTGAAGCAGGAACAAGTACAAATGAGCATATGAAGTGTTATATGCTACAAGATTGGAACTCAGGAAATGTCTTTAATGCCACACGTTAGATGATGAAGAAAAATTGTAATCAATAAAAACAGTAAATGTCCTGAGACCCAAATAATCACAGTATTTCAACCTCTGTCATCGGCTTTAGTTTTAGATCGTGAACAATTACGCATAAGACTGTGCACATCACCCTCTTGTTGTCAGTTTATTCTTCTTCTTTTATCTGTACATATGTGTGTGTGTGCATGCGTGCGCGCAATTCGTAAACCTTATTTAGTGTAGCCATGCTCAATTATCCATTAAGGTAGGTTTTGGTTTTTGTTCACAAACATTTGTTTATGCTTTCCTCATGTTTCTATTTCCAAGCTAACTAAAATAATGTACTGAAATGAAATTTTGAGCCTTATAGTGTTTCTACCCTGGCTGGTACATCTTCAGCTTTCACCTTTGCAGAATGAATTTTAATAATGAAAACATTGGAAACAATCAGGTGTTCTTTATTTAGCAAAAAGATTAAAGAAGAAAACATACTTTGAGAGTGGAGCAGAGCTGTTTCATGTAGTTATCTCTAGCATTCGATAAAAGCATCACCAGCAACGGGTTCTATACGTCTGATTCCAGACGCAATCCCCTGTTCTGAGATTATTTTCAAGCCACGTATTTCAGAAGTACTGCTGACATGAGTGCCACCACATAGTTCCATGGATACACCCAGAACCTCTACAACACGTACCTAAAATAATCACAGTATTTGAAGGAAAAATCAAATCCTATGTAAAAGTATGTTCCATAAGTTACAACATTTATGTGTTGTGAAATGAGCGTATATTTTAACACCATTTTCTGTCAGAACTCAGAAGTACAAAAGAAAAGATTTTATAGAAACTTGAACCTGTTCTCCATATTTTTCTCCGAACATTGCAATAGCCCCAGCTTTTTTATCATCAGTTAGAGGCATCACTTTAGTTTACAGAAGTGTAAAGTCCTCAATCCAGCTATTGATTAGTCCTTCAATCTCCGTGAGCTCATTATCCAAAAGTGGCCAGTGGACGTTGAAATCAAATCTAAGACGATCAAAAGCCACCAATGAACCAGCTTGTGATGTTTCCTAGCCTATTACTTTTTTAAGTGTAGCTTGTAGCAAATGAGTAGCAGTGAAACAAATGATACAGAATAATGAACATAATATTTAGTACACATATTATCATAAGAATGACAATAAACAATAGGAGAATATACACCTGGACAAAAAATTAAGTATATAGAATAATAGCAATAAATTGGATAATAATTTTATAGTCAACATAAGCACGAGTATATGAATAAAAAAGTCACAACATTTATTTGATTATAGGAAAGAATGTATCACAATAACAAAAGGCATTGAATGACAGTAACACCCATGCTATCTTATGTTCTATTCAATCATCACGTTAACTTACAAAAGATATGTAATACAAGTAATAAGTGTTTCAATAAGTGCCAGTTAAGCACCCAAACAGTATAGACCAATGCTAGACATTTACTCCCAACCAAATTGTAATTAGCCACTGTTTTAAATTAAAATATAAATTATTATAGATTCTACAAATTATAACAGACCAATTATAAGTATAAAAACCTAAAATCAATTTCTCACAAACTAAAACAATATTTAACTGTTTTAGGTCCTTTCTTTTTCTTTTTTTTTTTTAGATTGGCAAAATAAAACTTTTATTGATGAACAAAGAACTCATTACATCAAGAAAGGAAAAGAGATGAGTGCAAAAAGTATCATAGTGAGACATACCAATCCCAATTAGGTTAGCACCAATATGCTCGTCCAATCCTTTGCTAGCACGCCATCAAGAGTTGGTGAGCAACCAACCAAAGCCAAGAAAAAAACCAGCAGCAAAAATCAGCACCTAAAATAGCTTTGCAGCAGCAAAAATCAGCAGCAGCAACTGGCAGCAGCAGCAACTAGCAGGAATAGATCTCCAACAGCACTAGCAGATGCACAGCAAACTCTGTTTTGAAAGCCTCCTCTGATCATCTTCCAGTAGCAGCACCCAAAGGCAAACACAATACACACAACAAGAGAATGTAACACATCAAAGAATTGTAATAGCAATTTCTTAGAATATAAAAGAAACAACCTCATACTTAATATTAAGAAAGTGAGTGGTCAAAATAAAATTTCATTCTAAATACTCTGAAGTTAACATTTAAAACTACATGTCAATATTTATATTATCGAACTTGTTTAATAATTTAACTGTAATAAAGTGACTAAAGACCCAATTTACACAGATAAAATTCTTGAAACTCCAGAGAGCGAGTTGTTTTGTGTTCAATCATCTAAAAAAAAAACTCAATTTATAGAAACTGAGTTCAAAATCGCACAAAACGAACAAATACACATGTTCTAAATACACAGATATAAATACACATTTTGTTTCAATTTCAATATACCTTTCTCGTATCATACATGTTCTAAACGAACAAAAATTTTAACAGCACAACCATAATTTATATTTTTTTCAATAAAAACCAAAAAAACAATTGTGAAGTATCAAATCAAGTGATAGGGTCTTCATTGATTTCAATAGTCAATCATCTTTTTGAGGAGTAATTTGATGATTCACACTTATTTTTGTTGTGTTGGTATACCCAAATTGCAAGTCCTAAAATCATTAAAACCTAAATTTAAAAATCACAATTCCTCAACCCAGAAACTCTCCAGATTAAATCTTCACCCCATATACCTAACAAATCATTCACAAAATGCCAACATAATGATAAACCCAATAGAAAAAAATGAGGTGCACAAGTGTCCCATTCAAAAACAACTAATCGTCTCAAAGCATCAAGAAATCTCAAACTCAAAAAAGTATCAGAAAATAAAAATGTGCCGAAAGATCTCAGAACCCGAGCCCTAATATGAAACCTCAGAAAACTCATATCGTTCATTTGAAAAAAAATCCCAAAAATCAACATTAAAACATTAAGCAGAGAGTGTACCTTCACTTCACAAAAACAACAAAACATCTAATTAATCGAAGTCGGAATACAAATCTTCTAATTCAAAGAAAGAATTGGGTAGAGAATGCAATATCGAGAGAGATTGAAACCCTTATCCGGCGGTTTTGCTCATTCGAACCCTCTTTTTTCTCCATCTCTTCTCGGTTTTGCTCCTTTCCACTCTCCCTCTCGTCTCCTCTTTCTTCTCCAAGTAATGCTAGAGATCCCAAATATTCTACCAAAAGTTTTACCAAATGTCTCACATGGGTGTGGGACCCACACAATGTGGGTCCTATATAGGTCCCACACCCATGTGAGACATTTGGTAAAACTTTTGGTACAATTTTTAAGGCCTCTAGCATTTTTGTTCTTCTCCTGCTATTTTCTATTTTCCTTTATGATTAGAAGACAAAGAGTTAGGTGTATTTTGATATATTTATTTATTTTTTTAACATATTTTTTTTTTGGTTGTTGGTGCCAACGTATATTACTTTGGTATTTTTTATTTATTTTTTATCATACTATTCATGATAGAAATTGTGCCGTGAAATTTTATTTTATTTTTATATAATTTTTTAGTGTTTGGCATTTGAAATTTTCATTTTGGCACTATTTTTTTTTTTTTCAGTTGTACATTTCACCCTTTTTTTAAAAAAAATTTTGGAAAAAAAATTTTCAAACTAATTTCTGAAAATAAAACCAAACATATTAAAATTGATAATCTAACCACATTCTTTAGAAAAGTTTAAATTATCTCAAATTAGTCATCTCAACTTAAGAGTGTGTTTACGTTTGATAGGTTCATTTTGTAATTTAATTCAATGATCAAATGATCACTTTAATTTTACAATTCAATAACTAGAATATTTAAAACTTTTTCAAAAGTTATAATAAAAGCATAAATCACTAAATCATCTCATTTCACTAGTAAAACTTTTACCAACGAATAGTGTTATCGTCGCTAAATGTTTAACTCTTTGCCCACGCCAATATGTCGTCGCCAAAAGTAAGCACACTAATAGCAACGCTCGTTGTGTTGCTAAAAAATAAGCCTCATAGCTAAAATTTTTGAAATTTTGGCGCCAAGCAATAATTTTGGCACCTAGTGAATGTTATCCTTTTTTAGCGACGGCAATAAATTGCGTCGGTAAAGGTCTACTTTTACCAACGAAATTCATCACTGTGTCGCCAAAAATACACTTTTGGCTATGAAAAATTGACGTTGTCACCAAAAGTGTAATTTCTTGTAGTGTATTCGCCCGTGTTAATATTCTCCACCTTATGCCTCAATCCAATTTACTTCATTTCACAATAATACGACCAATTCAATTTCCTTCATTTCAAATAAGGGATCTCTATCATAGGTGGCAAGTTATAATTTACATCATTTCTATTTAATGGTGGTGTAAATCAATAATATTCTAATCTCATGATTAAATTCCCTTTCTGACCATTAACAACATATCAATTCGTTATATTTAAACATAGTCATTCCCACACAAACAAATGCTCAAATCATGAGACCTAATTTAATCTTAAATCAATTATCAAATCATTAATCACATTTCTTAAACTCATGACATAACTATTCTACAATTTTAACCCCTTTTCGTCTATTAGGCATTACTACAAAAATTAGGGTCTTATCTCTCTAATCATGAATATATTGTATCACACCCCAAATTTATCCCAACATCAACCCATCTCATGAAATTTCAATCTCAACACCCAAATCTTATATCCCGTATCATGATTTTCAAAAATAAATCCATACTACATGGTTTTTATGCAATATAAACATACCACATGTCTATCTATAGGTGAAGCATTGAAAAAAATCAAGGAAATCCCTACCTCATGAGAGAAGAGGAGAAAAAGCTCAAAAATCAACCTCGCCGGATTACGATCTTCACTAATCAAGACGAAGCCCTCGACACGCTCATCATTTTGGTATAAGGGACTAGCACCAAAATCTCAATGGATTTCTTGAGATCAAAGAAGATAGAAGATTTTGGGGGTTTGGGTAGAGATAGATGAGAGAAAAAGAGAGAAAAATTGTATATAGAGAGATATATCAGAAATGAAGTGAAAAGGGGGGCAAAAGCAATACATAGCTGAAATGCATGAAAAACGAGGCCGAAACGTGCTTGGCCGCACGTGCGGCGCCCTCTCCCACACGTGCGGCTATCACCTCACACGTGTGGTCTCCCCCATACCTCCACTTACACACCTGCCTTTTAGGTAGTGTGCACACAGCACACTCCCCTGCTTCCCGCACCTGCGGCTTGATCTCCTGCATGTGCGGCCCCTCTTTCACACGTGGGACCCTAGCCCTTCAGCCAGGAAAAACTTCGGCTTCACTCTAAACACTCCAGAGCCAACCCCGCACTCTCCGAAACGAGTGAAAACTCGGAAAAGAAACAATGCAAACCAAAAATGTTTAGAGAAAAATTTTTCCACGACGACTTACCCAACATAACACAAGGAAACAAGACGGCTTTCGAACCGGTCATCACATTGTGGGCAACGAAGGACTGCCCAAGGTATGCTTTCATTTTCCATTTTTATTTGCTAAAATCCTAACTTGCAATCAAATTTACTAAATATTCTTGATGTATGTATTCTATTTATGAGCCGATCTTTATCTGGTATATTGCATTTATCATCTTCTGTGTTGTCATTTAACCTTTTATAATTTATAACCATTCTAATTTTCCCTCTTTTTATCTCTGCATGATTTCTTACCATAAATGTGGCGCTTCTATGTGGACTATTACTAGGTTGAATTACTCCTAAATCTAATAACTCCTTAATCTGTATTCTAAATTCTACGATATCTACTGGCTTATAATTTATTTGTGCTGATTTAATCCTGTAATCATTATTTTTTATATCTAAACCAACTAAAACTTTATTTCTTTCCAAGTATTTCATGGGTTGTTCTCCTAAAATTTATGTTGTTTCAGCTAATCTTATTATTTCATCTAAATCATTTTCTATTCTTCTGTATATTGGTTTTTGCTTCAACTTTCCTATTTTTGCGAAAATTAATTCTAAGTTAATATTTTTTTGAAATTCTTCTAAGCTCCAATAGTCACATTTTTCTTCGAATTCAAAATCTTCTAAAGAAGTATTTGCTATCTCCTCATTTGGTATATATTTTGGGCTAGCTCAAGAAAAATGTTTCTACTAGGAAATAAAAAAACTAGCAGGAACATAATCTACTCCTATGGTACCACCATGTTTTGCATGCAACTCTGATGAATGGGCAATGGTGCTAAGGGCATATGCTCTGGGTGTATGCACTCTTGGTTTGAAGAAACTAACGCTATTATGGCTGATAAACATGCCACCTTGAAGACTAAGTATGATATTAAGGCCTAATATGAAAGGATGGTTTTGTTGAGCATTCCCAATCCAAACTTGGGGTAAAGGGAACCATTCTATATGTTGAGTCTGTGAGCCTATATGAAGAAAAGTAATTTGTGCTTTATTAATGCAATGTGTATATGTCTGTCTAATGTCATTGGTTATATTGACTAAAGGTGGGGTTACTAAAGGCGAACTCCACCCTGGTGGAACTATATGTTGTTCAATGTATGATTTACTAGCTCCGGTATCTATCATGGCATTTACACTAAGAGTTTTTTCTGCAAATTTGATTACACAAGAGATCTCAACTAAATTTAGCTTAGGTATGACAGGGTAATTAAATGGTAAATATGCATTGTCAAACTGTGCTTGGGAATATTGACTAAAGGGTTGAGAATCAACAAGGTTGACTAATTCTAAAGAGTGCATATGTTCTTCAACAAGTTTATCTTTTAAGGGGTATTTAGTTTGAAATTGTTCTAACTGTTGTTTAAGCTATTTGTATTCTAATCCTAAATATTCTATATCGAAATTAGCCTTAGTTTCTATCTCACGTATTTGTAGTCTAAGTTCTCTTACTTGTATCTCTAATTCTCTAATTGTTAGGTGTAATTATTTGTTTTCTAGACTATGATCTTCTCGCATCTCCTCTTTATTTTCTAACGTTACCCTGTGTGTCATATTTAATTTTTGTAAACAAACTATACAACAAATTATATTGCATAATAAACAATGAACTCTCTTATTTTTAGTTGGAAACCAATTATAATAACTACATCTAGTAGTATCAAATCCTAGTTCGATCCTAAAGTTATGTTGATATTTAGTATTTGGATTACATTCCATCATTATAAAGCAACAGGAAGAGGGTATTCCTATTTCTTGGTTAAGTTGTCCTAAAAGATTGTCTATATCGATATCACTTTCTGAATCACTATTTGAACTTATGGCTTCTATTTGATATGTATAATCACTAACTATGTCATAAACTTCTAAGTCATCACTGTAACGCCCTCAAAATAAAAGCATTAAACCCAACAATTACAAGATTCATTAACAGATAAAATAACCATATTCTTCCATTCCTTCAGAATCTTATTACATAAGTATTACATGTTAACAACAAAAGCAAAATGCCCTACGGGCTTACAGCTTTCCAAGTTAACACTTGGTTACACAAAAAGGAGTACTAACTTATACACTTTAAGCCCTTGGCTTGTATTTACATGTAATACATCAAAAAGTAAAAAGACAACATTATGTCCGCCTCTAGCCTCCCAAGCTATGTCCTTGGAGGTGGCATGCTTCCTGCACCTGAAAATGATATTCCCATATAGGGTGAGCCACAGCCCAGTAGAAATACACTAAACCAACCATGGACAATGACTAAAACATTAGCAATTGATAGTTGGTCAACACTGATACAATCACATAAATAACATATTTATGTCAACGACTTACAAGTCCCAATTACTTTTCATTTTCCCCTTTTCAACAGATAAGCATGCTAGCTCTATCACCATTTCCACAGATATGTATAAAAACAATATCTCACATTCAGATAAGCATAAAAGCTACATCCACATTCTCAACAGATATGTATAACAACAATATCCACAGATAAGCATACAAGCTGTATCCACACTCTACAACAGATATGTATAACCACAATATCCACAGATAAGCATAAAAGCTATATCCACAATCTCAACAGATATGTATATCAACAATATCCACAGATAAGCATACAAGCCGTATCCACATT